GTTATAGATATATACATGTATTCAAAATTGCTTATTTTGTTTTAATTAATGCTGTTCCAGAGCAATATCTCTCATGTACTTGTTTAACAATCAGATACAAATGTCAATCATTTTAATGTTAATCATCATAATCATATTCCTGACATGTTTATATTCCAACTATATTATTACTATAATATCTTAAATTCGATAACTAACAGGGACTGAGCCATGCATGGCTTGTTTTCAATATTTTTTTCAAAAATAACACGATAAATCATTCCCATTTGTGCGAAAATGGGTGTTGTGCATAGGAGAGAGTTCAAGGTGAATTCAGATTGTGCATTAAGCTGCTGTTTTGTCACTTCTTTAAAACTATTGGATCAGTGAGCTGGTGTTTTCTCTTCTCCGAACCCATTCGATCATTGAGCTGATGATGTACCATATTTCATACTTGTTTGCATTTTGTCTGATGATATTTTCTTGATTTCAGAAAGCAGATTTAGAGCTTTAGATACACAGAATAAAAATGGTGATACTGCACTTCATCAGATGGTTCAGCAAGATGGCATGTTGACTGATATTAAACGCATAGTGGAAGCCAAGTGTAAACTTGGTGTGGAGTGAGTATATAAAAGCATTTCTGCTTTGATAAACTTGCCTGTGTCTGCAAATCAAGTGAAATTTTAATAACAAATAGATAATGTTCTTTTACTGAAATTTGTCAACTTTTACAACAAAATTTAATGCTACAAGCTAGATCAAAGTCAGACTGTCCAAGAAGTACGTAAAGTCGCGACTTGAAACCCCGTCAACACCTTGAGTCAGACTGCTGTCACCCTATGTACAGTGTATCTCAGTAATTGACGGACAGCAAGTGTTAAGTTTTACTCCTCCAGCCCTTTAACGACCAATTAAATACAAGATGCATCGAAACATTAGTTCTTTTACTTCAAAACTGCTGGCAAAACACAGCAGAATTAATCCACGATTTATTGAGCTGCTACTTAGTAAGGGGGTCACTGCATTTAAACATTGAGATTTACTACCAATAAATCCACACAGAGACTGTGCATTGTCAATGACTTGTTTTCTTTCTCTTTCTAATATCAAAGTAACTTTCAACTACTTTTTGTGTCCATATTGAACATCATTCTTACATTACATTCTTTGTCTCAAATTTATATCTTAGAAATGGTTTAGGGTTGACTCCCTTGTTTCTTGCTGAGCAGAGTGGTAAACAAAATTATGTCAAGCTGTTGCTTGATCACATGCCATCTTGCATGGCTAACCGAAGGTAAGCAAACTTAATTTTGTTTTGTGACACTTAGAGAGATGCAACTTTTTGTCACCACCAGATTGTTTCAAACACCAAATCAGTAACAACAATAATTTTTAAGAGGGTGCATTGTTCGTCTGAATGTGTGTAGTACTTGTACACAATTTTTTTTTTAGCTCCGCTGTCGACTTTGTCGAGCGGAGCTTATCATATGAGTGATTGTCCGGCGGTGTCCGTCGTCCGTGTCAATGTTTTACTTTTTCGACTTCTTCTTGAAAACTACAAGCCTGAATGATTTGATACTTGGTGTATATGTACCTTGGGTAGACCTCTCTTAGGTTTGTTCATTTCATGTTGATATCTTCAATTCTCTAATTTTGGTGAATATTTTTGTCATTTTTGGTAAAAAGTGATATTTTCGACTTCTTGTTAAAAACCGCAAGTGCAATTGCTTTGATATTACATATATAGGTACTACATGTGGACCTCTCTCAGATTTGTTCATTTTGTAATGATATCTTCAATTCTCTAATTTTGGTGAATATTTTTATCATTTTTGGTAAAAAGTGATATTTTCG